GTTCACAAGTTAAAAGCTAGCTTGAGCAAAGCATTTCAAATATCAAGAAGAACTATCACTGTTTAAATTGTTTTTAAGTAGGGGCTTTTTTAAAAAATGCAGAAGTTAACAAGTGAAGAAATTTAAAGGAATTTTATTCACTGATTACCGCACCTGCTAATGCAAAGTTTGAGCCATACTGTCTTCCCCAGTCTATTAGTTTGATTTAAAGTCTTTCTCTTCTAGCCAACAATTCTGAACCTTTAACCTTGAGTTTGTAGGAGTCTCTTCCAGTCTGGCTCAAACAGCAATAACAGCCTACTGCAAAACTGGAAGAAATACTGAAGAAAACTACTGTGGTGGAAAACAGCTTGACTAAGTCTTCCCAGCTCTGCAGCACTCTAACAGGACTCAAATGATGCAGTGCAGAAACAACTAAGACAACAAGTGATCATAACTGAAAATGTGTAGCAAGTGGATTACAAAGTCGCTAGGACTGCTTTTAGGAGCATAATTACATTTTAAAACTAGAAATAAAACCCCTATAAAAACTGTGGAAATACTCACTCCAAAGAGTCCTTTGGAGCATCACTGCACTGGAGCATCACTGGTTATGGTAAAATGTCAAGCTCTCCCTGGTGAGTATCTCACCTAAATATCCTATCCACTAACAAGAAGTACACTTAGTGGTTACAAATATACCAATGTGGAACGGCATATTCCAAAAATGAACACAATGTGCCAGACAATGCCTCTCATGCCTTCAGGAAAGGGGTCTGCAAACATTCTCCACATATTCTGTCTCTGTGTCTGTCTCCCTGCTCCTATAGAGATACTGGCGGTGGCTGCACACCAATGTGAGAATTAGCCTGGGTTTACCTTTGCACCCAACACTGCCACCTCTGCAGTAGGCCAGACGTAATTTACCTCTTCTTGTAAATGCTTTGAGCACAGCGCATCATAGGCAACCTATAGACCTGAAACAAAGAACACAGGACTTGTGCGATGTGACCTTATAGCAGCAACAGCCTGCACAGAGCACAGAGCAAGGAACTGTGGTCACATTCCGCAAGAATAGAAGAAACTTCCCTTGGAACTTAAGAGAAAGAGGTACAATCAGGCAGGACAGAGAGAGAGATGACCATGAGTGAAAAGAGTGGGGGACAGAAGACAAAGGTTCATGTAACTAAAATTCCTACAAGTGAAAGCCAGCTTAGCTTTCTGGTGATCTGCAAAGGCTAAGAGTAGGCAAACATTTCCACCATGGTTCTGAGATGTTCCAATAAGCCACAAAAATAATGGTTTCAATTTAGGAAATGTACAAAAAAAAATCACCTGGGCAACTGATCCACTACCAGCAACAACACTAACAACATCTAGAACCATGTTAATATCTAGGATATCTAGGTTACCATCCACACAGCATATGATAACGAACCATATGATGACGAACAACTGCTTGAAAAAAGTTGCCAAAAAATGCATGAAGGAAAATTCTCTCCCTTATAGTCGTGGGACTGTAATATTCACCTTCCAAATGTGCCAGATGCCTTCCACTCTTTCAAAGGACTTGGGGCAACTTACCCTGCCCTTAGCCGACATACCTTAACCTTATCCACCCTAACTCTGCCTTTCATAATTCCATCCCTAACCTGAACTAACCTGCCCTAACCCTCCCCTAACGTAACCCTACCTTGCACTAACCCTAACCTACACTAATCCTACTCCACCTCATCTGCACTCTCCCCTCTTGTCTACTCTACCGCCTACCCTACACCCAACCCTCTACTCTCCACCCTCTGTTTTTCACTACCCTCTACTCCACATTCCCCTATGCTACATGCTACTCTATCCAACCCTCCACTTTATTCTACCCTCTGTCCTAGCCTATCCTCTATCCTACCCATGCCATGACCACCTCAACATGCCACACCCGTTAACATACCTATCACCACACCCATTACCATATCTATTATCAAAAAAATAAATATAACAATACCCAATACCATCCCATAGTTAGTTTCTAAGTTGTATGTAGAATGGAGCAGCCAGTCACTTTTAACCCTTCAAGAGTAAGCTCAATACAACTGTTATTTGAACTGCTTACACTTAACATCATCCATGTAAGTTAGTATTTGTTTTACACACCTGTCTTGGCTCTAGTTTCAGTCCCAAACTGGTTCCTTTTTTTCAGGTTCTGAAAAGCTTAAATATCATCTCTGTGCTCTCCTCCTCATATGAGAGCTATTTAGGGTGTCTGGTCACTAATGTTTTTAAGTGTTTTGTGCACCTCTGTGAGCCACTGTGACAAATTCTTCTCTACTAAGCAGGGAAAGAAAACGGCAACCGCACTCCATATATATTATTTAAACTGAAATGTCTAATGACAACATATTAATGTTTTAGAACTCCATAAAGTACATTATAGGATCACTGTAGACCCTCGCGTTCTTCTCTTCTCTCTGTAGTGCTGATTTTATTTGTCTCCTATTTATCTACTTCTTTGCTGACATTCTATTTTGTAATATTAACTATTAATTTGAATTGGCTACATGCAGATAGCTTTGTTCTAAGATTTTTGAATTCTAGATTCCTATAGTAATCCCTAAATGCCAAAAAGAAGTAACCCGCTTCTTTGTCAAGAAAAACAACAAATGACAACAACAACAACAATAACAAAACAGAGTAGGAGGGTGTATCCATTGCAGGATGGAAAGACAAGGATGCAAGAGGGAACAGGAAGGTTCTCTTCACGCCGTTTGTGTTGTCTCCTTGCTAAAACATACAAAACATATTGTATCAACTAGATGATCTCTAGAGGTCCCTTCCAACCTCAACCATGCTTTGATTCTGTGCGATTCTGTGAACTGGAATATTCTGTAGTGACATGTCTGTCCTTTGACATCTTGATATTTACTCTGAATTAAACCCTACCAAACCTAATCCTACCCTAACTCTACCTACCCTAAACCTACCCATCACAAGTCTACTCTACGGCTTTAGCAGACCATTTCCTTAGGCAGGCACTGTAACTGGCAGGAATATTAGCAAATTCTTACCTAACAGGACATAACTTTCATAACATTCAGAAATCCTTTACCAATTTGAGCTCATTGCCTTTTAAACCAAAATGATTCTGAGGACATACTGTTCCACAAATTAGTCCTTGAAGTGCCAACATAGACAAATATACAAAAAAAGCAATTTACTAATGATCAAAGTATAATTTACTATATCAGAAAAGTCTTATTATGGTCACAATTACCCATGGTGAAGATACAGGCTAGATCTATATCATGAAGTTAATGTCCGTGACTGAAACAAGAGGGTTAAAACAGTGGCAGGGTAGTTTTGTCCGCATATATGTGCTAGAAATCTGTACAGAGCTATATTCGCCAGGGATCGCTTCCCCTCCTGTTGTGCTTTCCCCTCATATACTGCAATTCTAAATGTTTTCCTCATTGTTATTCTAACATAAAGCCATTTAAGTGCCCCGACGACCTTTTTGGCAAGAATTTTAAAACAATTAGGGACTACCTCAACCGTGGTGTTCAATTATATCGTATCATCACATGTAAATGTCTCAAATAGAGCTAATTTGACCTTTCAGACATTCTGAAGTTAGAGAGTTTTTCTTCACTGAGTATTATCAGAGGAACAGTAGTAATGCACTCCCTGTGAGCGAAGTCCTGTTGAAAAGCAGCTGGGGGTTATAGTGGACCTCAGGCTGAATTGAGCCAATGATGTTGTGCAGTTGCAAAAAAAAAAGACAACCACAGTGCCAGAATGTTTAAATGGATGTACAGTCCCTGAGATGCATGAAGTAAAACTGCCACTTAGCTGAAATAATGTGTCTAGCTCTGAACTTCATGAATAATGGAAACCATCTGTAAAGTCCAGAGGAAAATACAAAGAAATGTATTCTAGAACTTCTAGAAAAACTTACCTATGAGAAGAAATAATTGAATAAATAAATAAACAGTAAATAGTTGTTTAGTCTATGAAACAGAAGATGAAGGCAACCTCTTCTACCTACAACACTCACAATAGCCTACCCAACAATGAAACTTGATGCAGCAAAGGGATTGACCAGTGTAAGAAGCGATGCGATTAATCCAAAGTTCAGGGGATTTGTGTTTGAGAAACATTAACAGTATAGATACCCAGGAGCACTTCAAAATTAACACCATGAAAGAGCATCAAAAAGCAGAATAACTTCTAGAGATCTAACAAGTCCCATTCCCTCCAATGCTACTTTTTCTCTCTCTGTCAAAAAAAAAGATGCTGTCCTCCTCACAAACTTTCAGCTAACAAAGTATGCTCTTACAAATAGAGATATTCTTCATCTGTCTGATGTTTTTCTTATTTTAAGGTCTGTTTGATGCTATGTGTTGTTTCTGTACCAGCACCAGCACTGCTCAGAATCCTCTATATCTCTGTTCACCTGCCAGAGTCAAATAAAGCTTTGCTTTTACTTCAAACAGGAAAACAGGCTCTGCCCTTTCTCTTGCAGCAGTTTGACATTCCTGGGCGACAGAAGTTTCCCGTTTGCTCACAAATTCCAGTTCACAAATGAACTGTGGCATCCCACAAAGCGAACTCCAATCCCGAGACTTTGTAATACCATCAGTGCTCTGATTACACATTATTTCTAGTAGGTTTGGTTTGCTTTTGTCATATCTTACAGGATCAAACTGCATTCTGGCTCCCCATGACATGCAATGATTTTGACAGCTGATTTCTCTCCTTATATACTCTGAGGCCCTAAACTCATCAACTCCTCCTTAAGTGAACAAAGCATCTGCAGACGTGGAGCGCTCAGCTGCTGACCCTGCTGCTATTGGAGGTGGATCCGTTCCAGGAATGGAGATGATCCCCTCCCACCAAGCCTCCGTACTTCATCACAGTCACATCCCCCCCTCGCTGATATTTTAGCCTGGCTCCGCCTTTCTTTTCCTCCGATTTTCCAGGCCAGGAAAGCCAGGCAAAGACGGTGAGAGCTGGAGCAAGGCCACTCGGCCATGGCCTGTCCTCCGTCAGCCCCCATCACGCAGCAGATCTGCAGCGCGCACATCTCGCAGCAGCCGGAGCCGGAGGAACTGCGAGCGGCCGCCCAGTGCCCGGTGGTAGACGCGGATGGGAAAAAGATCCCCTTCAGAGCCCTGTACAGCGAGCGGAAAGCGATCGTGGTGTTTGTGCGGGTGAGGAGAGAGAAGTGACCGGGCGGGGTGCACTTGCGTGGTTGGAGTTTAGAGGCACTTGAGCAAACTACAAAACAAGTCACAGGCAGAGAGCTCTAGCTGGGCTGTAAGTGGAGAGGGCTTTAAACAAGTTAACACATATCAGTTGTTTTTAAGAAACTCCCCTTCCTTGGGTAAAAAGACAGAACTGTGTTCCCTGATTTTCCTGACTGATAAGTCAGCTGTTGCTTTCCTAGTGATAAAAAATAGCAAGGTCTCAAACCCAATGTCCCAGTTTAATCCCAGGAGAAAAAAAAAAAAAAAAGATAAAAAAAGATTCTTATAATCTGAATTTGGCTGCTGCAATTAAATTTAGACTCTCCTATTCTCAGTTTCTGGTCACCTCCAAAATGGTTTGTGCCTGGAGTTGTTCCCTGATGCTTCACTAATATAGTTATGTCTTTCCGACATGTCCAACTGGCTATGTTGCAGAATTTTTTATGTTACACCTGTAAGGAGTATGTGGAAGACTTGGCAAAAGTTCCCAAGAGTTTTTTAGAAGTAAGTACCATTCCCTTAACATGTATTTGCACACGGGGTTTCTGCAGGCACACAGCTCTCTCACATCCTGCTGCAGATTTGCATGATGTTTAAGTCTTCTAGGAATAAAACAGTCGCTCAAAAAAACTTAGTACTTTCATTGTTTGCTACAATTACCATCCCATTTCTGCTTAGGAGACAACGTGAACAATCTATTGCACTGCATGTTCATTTGCAGCAGCATTATTTCTCCCTGCACCATTAGCTTGATGCTAATGCTTTTTTTTGTTTTTGTTTTTACTGTATTCTGAACAGACAGAAAAGGTTTGATGGGCATTTCTCTAAATTAGTACCACTCCGGGTAGCAGTCTGTTCTCTACTGCTACTGGTTACGCTGGTACAGCCGACTCATGTTGGTGTGTGACACAAGACCAGGAAGTTGACTTGGATTAAAAACAGTCTTTTCTAGAGGTTATTGGTGAACTGCAACAGTTTGGTAATCTGTTCACCAGGCAGCTGCACGAACAGAAGAGACACAGTGACAGAAAGTAGAAATAGAGTAGGCAGGGGTTGCTACCGACTGATATTTGTTGAGTGATTGGAGATACTTGGGAAAGTCAATGATCCTCTGCTAAATGAGGAAGATCATCTAGTCAGCTTGCTGAAATTTTGTCATGTTTAATTCCCAACAGCAGCACAGCTGATGAGAAACCCAGCAGGCCTTACCTGTAGTAGAAACTTGAGGATGGAGAGGAGCAACTTCTTCAGGATTTCTTCTGAGGAGAGAAGCTTCAGCTCCTCTTCTCAGAGCAAGATATCTCTAAGCCATTGTCAATATTTCTCAGTATGACATTAATTTTTAATTTGACTGATCAAACAAATACATAGAGAGAATCAAAATCTTCCTTGCTTTTTTTTTTAAGAGTATTTTATTTTAGGAGGATTTCTTTTGCAAAAGAGCAAAGTGATCCTATTGGGAGGTGCAAGAATCAAATCATAATACTCAAATAATCTTTAAATCTGTTAACTGTACTACCTGTGTCTAAATAACTTACATTTTTGGCCTGTATTTTAGGCTCAGCCCTAATGTTACACCTGCAAAAGGTATCAACACATGTGGATGGAGCTATGTAGATGTTAATGGGCAGTAGTATATGTAAATCATAGAGGTTCTTGTACATGCATCAATATTTTCACATTGCTTTGCTACATGCAGATAGAAATTTACATTTCCAAAATCACAAAACAACTTGCAGTCGGTGGAAAATATGACTCTACGTATGTTACAGAGAACATAAAATTTACATACATGTATGTAACTTTAAAACTACCTTTAAAAAAAGTGTTTATTCCTTAATAAATTAGCACAGCCACTTTCTGTAGGTGACAGACAAAAGTGCTCCAAGCGTGACTTTAATTTCAAACAATTTTAACTCAGTATACCCCAATGACTGACTGCAGATGTTTTGCAGCCATGCAGAAAGGGAGTTCCTCTTTCATAGTTTCAGTACCTGTGTTCTGTTTCAGGATGCAAATGTGAGACTTATAGTTATCGGACAGTCATCTTATCATCACATCAAGGTAAAATAGTCACTATGTAATGCAATTAAGTAGAGAATGTAATCTATTGTGTTTTTAACAATTTACACTGAAGAATTTTGTTCTGAGGGAAAAGATGAACACTTACAATCGCCAAACAAAAATGAGCTCCTATTATTTTCCATGAAGTAAACCTAATAGCAGTATATGAATAAAACAAATAAATAAGCCTTTGTTTTAATATCCACTAATAATTGGAAGATCTTGATTTTACTGGAAGCTGGGAACTGTGAGGTTTCAGGGCTACAAACTTTTGGATTTATGATAGATTCAGAGGTCTTAAAATCAGGAATTTTTCAGAGTATTTTTCCACTGTCAATAAATTGTAATTAATTACTACTTTAATCTTAAACTTTGTTGTGTGTGTGTGTACATTATTTTGCAGCCCTTTTGCAATTTAACTGGGTATATACATGAAATGTATGTAGATCCACAAAGGGAAATCTATAAAATACTTGGCATGAAAAGAGGTGAAGGTAACAACACACCAGGCACATCAGGTAAGAGTATTTTTCTCACCTTGATTTGTCTTACACAGAACACAACAGAATAAATCAAGAATGCTCTGATAAAATAATATGGTCTTGATGGAAATAGGAATGGAGCTGCCCATCAGGCCATCTCTTGAAGGCTGTATTTTCCTTTGCCTAAACTTTGAGAAACTTGTGTTTCTTCAGTAATCAGGAAATTGTAGGCTATTCATAGCACCAACTAAATTTTGGTTTTGCCTTATGCAGTTTTGCATTTCCAGGTAACAAGTACTTTGCTGTTTTGCTTAGTGCAGAGCCCTCATGTGAAATCGAACATGCTTTTGGGAAGCATTAGGAGTATGTGGAGGGCGATGACCAGCCCAGTTTTTGACTTCCAAGGAGACCCAGCTCAGCAGGGAGGAACTTTGATTTTGGGCCCAGGTGAGCCTGCTTGCCCTCTCTGAAAGTCACCCCACCTCCAGCTGCTCATCTTACCTGCATCCCTCTTGGCTGGTATCCTGGGGCCTCCCCAGGGGCACAGGGAGTTGTGTGCTGGCTCTGTGGTCTGGTACCCACAAGAACCCTGCAGAAGAGCATGGTGTTGTCCGTCCTCCCACAGAGAGGGCACTAAGCTGATTGCTGTCCTGATCGATAGCAGCGCTGCCTTCAGCATAGGGGAGCAAGTGGCTTGAAGTCTGGAGTATTTTTGTGTTTCTTCTGTTTGTTTTTTGTTTTGGCAGTTCCATGTTTGCTTAAACTCTGCTTCTGCATTTGATCTTGGGCATTTGATGTGTTTTTTAGTAAAGGAATAAAGCACAAAGGGAAATAATAACGCGACAAAATCTCCTTGAATTGTTGGGAAGCATCCTGCTAGAGCAAATTTAATTCATTTTTTTTCCCTCAATGCCCTTTCTTTCTATAACTTAAAAAATATTAACGAAAAAAAATCCATGACACAGTTTAATACAGAGTATATTGCAAAATTGACAAAGCTACTGCCCAGTGCCCAGTTTTACGCAAAATAATAGAAAATTGGAATACTACTTTGATTCACTTTTGTCTTAAATAAACAAATATTTTATTCAACTTTTTACATTTTTTTCTCATTCCATTCCAGGTAATGAAGTTCATTTTTTGCACCTTGACAAACACAGGCTGGATCATGCTCCCATTAACACAGTTTTGCAGCTGGCAGGAGTTAAAACAGTAGATTTCGCAAACAAATCTCAGATCATTGACATATGATACTGAAACAATATATCACTTTTTTATTTGTAATCTACATGGACAATACTCCAGAGAGAGTTCCCACCAGCATCAGCAGTGTTATGTCTTTACAGGTCATTTGCAACCACATCTAGAATATCAGAGCACAGAATAATCTACCTTGTACTGAAGATGGACACAAAAGTGCTATTTTTACTGTGTAAAAGAAAATATAACTGAGTCTTACTGCAAAAAAACTTTTGCTTATTTTTTTCTAATCAATGAATCTTGTTAATATATTTCAAAAATCTCTGTTCAGGATACACTAGCCTGTGGTGGGGAAACCTCTGAACCTAGCTTTGCTCAGAAAGAACTTGGGGTTTGGGTAGATCATATTAGCTCTTCAGTTCAAGACTTTTCAAAGGTTCTAGCAAAGTGTTTGACAAAGTTGTATTGAAATGTGCCTTGAAAAATCGCAGTTGCAAACACTGAGACTTAAGCTTATGCATACTCATGTATCAACTTGTGCATACGCTTGTATCTGGCACTGACAGACATTATAAAACACTTTTTATAATTTTAAACAAATATTTTAAATTATCTGTGATTATCTAGATTATCTGTGTCTGCAACTCTTTTTGGCCCACACAAAGTGGTAGCCTTATAATATAGGGAGAAGTATGTCTTAGACATGTTCCTGATCAGATAGTTGTTTTTAAAGTAGGCCATAGTTGGTTAACTGTCTTTCTATGAAAAAAAAAAAAAAAAAAGTAAATTTTCTTTTGCTCTCTCAGAGAGAGTTTTTAAAAATATATATCTTTAGTTATTTCTATAATAGACGGCAGATCTAAGGACAATCACATTTGGTTTGTGGCTATCTGATTTTTCATTACCTTTTTTTTTTTTGGCAATATTTATGTTTTGAATCTATTGCTTTCATTAGACTAGAAATTCCTCTCTGATATCCAGGAGCTGCATTTTAGCCATTTGAAAATGAGATTGTTTGAGATTTATGGAGGAGCAATCCTCCTCTGCAGCTCATGATTTTTGGCCTTCACTGTAAACCTCAACTACTCATACACACCTCAACTGCAAAATCTCTCCAACCTTAGACCTTAACAATAATTGTAAAATGGTTTTCTATGAAGAAGTTTGTCCTTGCATCCTTTAGGGTCATTGTCAGGCCCAGGGTAACCCCTAAGAGCTCAGCATCATTAAGATACCTGAAATTAAATGCAGCTTCTTTGACCAAAATAAAACTCATGCTTAAAAAGAAATGATATTAAGTAATGCAATCCTAGCAGAAGGTACTATCCCACAGCAATTTATTAATTATATACATGTTTTACAGATGATTCAGATGTTTGAGAGAAGGATATTATTACTGTGAAAATATTGTATCTGATTCTCTACTTTGATTAAACAGCACTCGAAGCAGCACTCGAAAAGTGATCGTGTGCAGACTTTGAACTCTCATGATGTCAGAGTTGGCCGCAGCCTTTCTCAGTATTTAGCATAATAGACTGTGAGCAGCTCAAGAGCCTTTCTGGCAGCTGTGATTCACAAGATAAGGTCTGCTTTTAATGAACCACTGTCTCTACATTCATAAATAAAGAACTGTCCTCCCCTCTTTCCAGGGTTCCTGCACCTTAACAGCATTTCTAAGCCAGAAACTCTCGATTCCAACTGCCTGTATGTTACCGAAAACACAGCAAAAAGCAAGCTAGAATACTAGTTAAACACAAATCTCACGAGATACGCAGAAAATTTTAAAAGTGTACAAAGTGAAAGAATGATAAATGATCTGTTTCTTTGTAGTGTTTCCACTCTAATTCATTAATCTGATTATCACTGTCAAGGACAATGAATTTAGTTCCACTTTTGTTTTGCAGCTATTTCATTTTCGTGTTCTTGATGCAGCAGTGTTTTGGTTTTAAAGGAATTATTTGGCTGGTTGTTTTTCTGCTTCCTTTGTCAGTAGAATTACAAAAAAAAGGAATATTTCTACTGTTAGATTTTATTTAAATTATTTATTTAAAATTAACTCTAGGCATATGTACCTTTGGAAGGGATTGGAAGGCATGAGGTTGTAGTTGACATCTCCGTAGACTTAAGTCCTCCGTCCTCACTTCTTTCACTACTGACAATAACCCAGGCCATATTACCCCAGCAGAAACACTTATCTTCAGAAAGCAAAGCAAACAGAAAGAGAGAAGTGGACATGGAGCAGGATGCAGCAGCAGCAGCAACCCCAGTTAAGAGGTAACCCCTGCACCTGCTGCATGCAGGTACCACGGCACCTGCCCACAGCTTCCAACTGGGACAGCGATCCCCCCGCATGCTTAATAAATCCCAGGAATGATCACCCTGCTCCTCTGCAGAGAAATGACCTTCTAGTGCTATTTAGAAAAAGTGTCTTAAAATGGGATGCAGTGAAAAGCGGAAAACAGGACCTCATCGCTGGCCCAGTATTCAGCCAAGGGCAGAAAGCAGTGAGGGTTTTCGGCATGGCCAATTACACAGAGATGAGAGGCTACAGTTTTTAGAAGTTGATTTTACTACGCTTTTGGCTTATTTGAACACCTACTCAAAACACTAGTGCATTTTAAAGTGCTGTGTGCTTGACAAGCAGATACAAAAATAACTAGTGGAACTTTTCAAATAAATTGCTTAGATTTTCAGGCCAGAAGAAATACGTGTGAATGGGACTGCTCCCCTTCCAACCACGCCAGTCAGTTCACCAAGACAGAATATCTCCGCACAACCCGCACTTTCTGTGTATTTTAATAGGTATCCAGAGAGCGATGCGCATCAAGAATGCAGTTTTAAATACTCCCTTCATACGAAGACACGATTTTACCCCAGGGCGTTTACTCCCCTCAAAAAGCCCCATTTCAGCCGCGTAACTCTGGCCCCAAGAGGCGCCACACAGGAGGCAACCGTTAATAACGGCCACATGCCCGGCGAGGGGCTCACCCTTGGCACGCTCCCAGCGCTGCGGGCTGGCTGTGCCCACGGGACACAGGATACGGGACATGGGGCCGCGCTGCTGCGGGACGGCCGCGAGCGGGGTCGCCACGCG